GTGTGTGTGTGTGTGTGTGTGTGTGTGTGTGTGTGTGTGTGTGTCTCTGCACTTCTGTGTGTCAGCAAGCCTGAGAAAAAGAAGGGAGGGGTGGGGGAGGAGGTGTTGCGGCAGCTCTTCTGACTATGGGAGCATATGAGCGAAGCAGGAGTGAGCCGAGGCACACTAATGGCACCAAATTGTTTATTTAAAAATTCAGGTGCAACTGGAGCTTTTGGCCAGCTGAACGGGCCAGGCAACAGGCAGGCATGCCACAGGGAAACTTCCTGTCTCTCCCGATGGACTGTCCAGCCCTGCATAGATTATAGAAAACACTGCATGAGTGAAAAAGGAATTGTAAAAGACTGTGCAGACAATAATGAGGTTAAAAAACTGCTACATTCATGAATATGGTTCTTCCACCATTCATTATTCCCCTTCTTTTTTTCCAGATTGCCCTGGAGTCAGTTTGTGTGATTGATGATGGTGAGACCATGCTGGTGGAGGGTCTCCGTGTCGCCCCTGAGGAAAGGGGGAAGGGCGTGGCAGGTGTTTTGCTGCGCTTTTGCTCTGAGCTGGTAAAGTCTAAATTTCCAGAGGTAAAAGTAACCCGCTTGACCCGTGATGATCCACTTGGACCCAAGGACTTTCAAAAGTATCGTGTCATAACAAAGCAGGTACAACCAGAGAAATGGGACTGATAAAGTGTTCATTGTTTTTGTCAAATAGATCGATTATTCAAAAAATTGTAGTCAAAGTGTTTGATTTATTTATTTAGCTAACATTGGCTTTTTATTCACAGGGAATTCTGCTGGTGCGTTTCAAAGCTGAAGAACTCAAGCTGCGACTTTCCAATTTGATTTCACACGAGGGCATCTTTTCCTCCTTATCCAGTCCTTCTGCTGTGCGTCTTGATCATAAATCCATTCATCAGCTTTATCTAACTACTGACTTAATGCATGGGGTTCTTCCTAATGCCACCGTCATTCAAGACTGGCAGCCTTTCAAGCTTCTGCCCAGTAACTTTGCCATCCTACTAAAGAAGAACATCGACTGGATGGTGGACGATGAATCCAACCCCACAGTGGCCAGCCTCTGCACTTTCCCTTTCAAGGTTCCCATCGGAGATGACTGGTAATCGTATTTCATTCATTCCTGAAATCAAAACGATGCTGCAAAATAACCAAGATAATTACTCTCCCTCAGGCAGTAAACAATGGACTTAAAGTCAGCATGTTTTCATAGGGGCCATGTAGGATGTATATAGTATTATAGATAGCATAATGTTTTTCTTAAACTGGGGTAGACAGAAATCTGGAAGTAAAGAGGCATATTCCTCTGACGTAAGTGGAATTAGTTACAGTGGTACCTGAGCATTAGGAGATAATTAACTGAAGCATCAGCCATGCAGTATCTAATATAAAGTATAAAACATTGTCTTAAATTTTACCTATTATCTTTATTTATTACCTTAGCCCCCTTCACACTGGATAATGACCCCTTTACACTCTTTTGTTACCTACTAGACGTGATAGAACATGACTGGATTGTGGCAAATTTAGAAAAGTTATGTCAGCATTCTTGCTATAGTAATCCTATAACTGACACAACCTGYCATGACTCTCTCAGACTGAGTCAGGATGCAGTAACAAATGAAAAGATCTATGTCTAGCTTGATGTTCCTGTCACAAGAATGGAGTTGATGCTTGGGTTTTACCATGACCCTTGTGAAGCTCTGCAAAATTGTTTTATAAAGTACATTCAGTGATGTCATCAAGCTATTTTTTTGCCAATTTCCTGTATTTTGTGCAGCTATGTGCATGGAACATTCTCTTAGCGCACTTAAGTGGTTGTTTGGCAATTACTCTCAAGCAAAACAAAGAATGAGGTCATCCTACCACAATAGAAGTTGGGTTTAGAGGTCAGAGACTAAACTGTGAGTTCCCAGCAAACTGTGCCTCACATCAAACCTGTATGGACTATTTATCATTAAACCAGAGATCTCACACTTTAGGATGGAGGCAGTCAGGGACACACAGAGCCACATATATCCAGGCCCAGATTAGAGTCTGATTCAGGCAGAAGGCCAACTGGAATCGAAAGGGCAATCCATTGTTTGAAAGGAAAATAAAGAAATACGTTGTCCAGGCAACTGTAGGGAGTCCCTCTAAGAGGGGCCCACAGGAGAGCAATAAAAGAAAATGGTAAATGGACTGTACTTATAGCGCCTTTCTATCCATCCAGGACACTCAAAGCTCTTCACACTACAATCTGTGTCCTCATTTACCCATTCACACAGCACTCTGTTAGGTCTCTACAAAACTAACATGTACAATCATCTATGGAGACTAATCAGTGCCAATCACATTCATACACTGATGGGACACACATCAGAGGCATTAAGGGGTGAAGTGTCTTGCCCAAGGACAGAACAACTAGGACAGCTGGAACGGGGGATCAAACTGGCGACCTACCAGTTTCAGGATGACTCCCCTAACCACTCTGCCACAGCCGCCCCCAAAATGTGGTTTTGGTTTGTCCTCCGATGATCACTACAGCCTTCTGCTGAATATGAGATGAATATTTAGCTGATTATAGAGGGAAACTTTTCCAACTTTAAATAAAATCTACACAATTTCACAATAAACTGACAAAGGCAGCCTGCTATACAATGTGAGGGATAAACATAGATCATGCAATTCTCTGAAAATTAATCAACTCTATATGTAAAGGAAATCATGAGTTTTAGCTTGTGGAGAAAGAAACACCATCAGCAGCATTAAAAATGCAGGTGAAAGAACCTCAACCCCATTCGTCTTTCTTACTTCCTGGTCTAGTTCAAGAGCTTCTTGCTTCACTTCCAAAAGGTGAATTTAAGGACAGCTGAGTATGGACCTGTATTTATAAGGGATGAGCATTTTAAACAAACACACTCTTCAAATCATCAAGTCTAGGAGACATAGTGAATTAAAGTTTACTCATCAGAAATCCTGCAACTAAAACCAATTCTCTAATCATAAAACAGATGTTTCAGGTACAGCTGCTGCTGCTATTGCTAACTGGAGATCTTTATTTTCCTTTATTTTTACCCATCCAATGGATCAAAGTAGAGGAGATGTATTCAGACATTAGTTTCCACTCTAGAGTCCTTTCAAAATAAACTACAATGTTAAGCAGATGCTGTACATTCTGAATTGTTTCTTTTTTGTTTGTTTGTTTTGTCTGGGCGGTATAAGTGCTGTCAAAAATAGCACCCAGATTTGAAAAGCAGCCCTAGGAAACAACTTGTTGTGTTAATATCAGGAGCTGGTGAAAATAAAAAAAAAGAGACTCAAATTCATCTATTTTTTTAAATTCACTTATTTTACCTAGATTTCCACTATTTGGACATCACTGCTTTCCCCCATTATTTTCTGGCACATGAAAAGCATAGATTGTTCATTGTGTTGTAGGTATTTTACTTTATATTCTATACAAAAAGCTTAAAGACTTACAGCTTGAGAAAATGTATTTATACATTCATAACTACAGGCATTTGCAATTGTATTTCACTAAGTGTAGCTCAGGGACATTAATGCCTGGASATGTAATGGAATGGAAAATATTGCAGTGTGGTTCTACTGCTGCAATGTAAATGTGATTGTGTCATAGCTTAGACATGAGGTTGCTGTGGCTAGTCCTAATTTAGGTTCTTGAGCACTAAGCCTTGATGGCCCCACCTCCACATAGGACATTCACCACAGGATCCTGATACACTGTCATCATTACACTGATAGTTTTACACATGCTTCTCAACCTATTGGACACTCTGAAGGACCTCATTAATACCATACAAGACCTTTCACATATTAGGGCCAATTTTTATGCCGTAGTTGGGTCGTAATCCAGTGCAAAGGGGGCTTTAGCATATCTACCCCAAATTTAAGACTCAAAACAAGAAATGGTAAAAAAATATATATATATCTTTTTGGAAGAACGTTTTTCTCACCCATTAAACTGACTCCCTTCTTCTGATGCAGGTATTACCTGAACATTGACATGTTTGGTAAAGACCTGAGCTTGGTTCAGCAGCAGTTGTTGTGCCACCTGCAGTGCCACATGGCCACCTTGAAGGGCCACGTGATGTGCCAGATATTCCTGGATCAAGCACTTTGGAAACCAATGGCTGATTTCTGCCACAACGCCTTGAACCTAGAGCTGGTTAAAGAGTACACTGAACAATGTGTGGTGGAGTCAGATGTCTAATTACAGAAGGTGAATGGTAAAGGAGTGAACACATAACTGAAACACAGTAAACAGAAACATGTTTATTTTTTAAGAGAAAGACAYTTTAAAGTTAACAGTAAAAAATGCAGTATTTAACAGAAACATTAAAAGATCAAAACTCCATGCATTCTACTTCAGTAGTTCTATTAACACTTATTTCATTTCAAATGTACAGTGAGGACACTGGTGGATAATGATTAGTCCTGTTGGTCACCAGTGCAAATTTATTTGAGAGAGAAATACTTCTCCTAAAAATCTTTTCAAAATTAGGGAGTTTCAGGTTTTACTTTGACCAACACTGGATCAATATTAGTAGACAGGAATCAAGTGTAGTTTAATTATTCTATTGTTTGCTTACCTTGAATTAACTTGTCATTAAAATGATTACATGTATGTTTTTAGTATTAACTCTGGGCCCTATTACCTGTATGATATAAAGGTTTAATAGGACTGCAAAGCTTTTTTTCCACTGGTAGCAATAATGCACTCTAGAAACAGTGCAAACAACAGGGACTTTTTGTTTTCTTTCAGAAAGATTAGTCCCTTTACAGCATTTTCATACATTTCATAAATTTTATTATTTTTGTAAATACTGAASTTTAAAAACTGTACAGTGGCAGAGTTGGATTACTGAGTCTGCACAACTTTAAATGCACTTTATTCAATTTACAGTCATGTTGTGTCCACTTTAACATAACAAATAAAATCAAATCAATGAGATCATTTACAGATTTAATCAATCTAATGTTGATAGATGTTTCTGTAACTATAATTAGGACCAGCAGCTAACATTTACATACACAATGAAATGATCTCACACTTATTATTCCATACAGGGTCAGATTTATGTTTTTGTGTATAACATCATTAAATGTATAATATAATGTGTATAAGTTATTAATTTGTTATTTTCACTTGAATCGTGCAATAATGTATTTTTTTCAAGCTCTAATTAAAACCTAAGTATACTTTTGTAAATTGATCACTTTAAATGTCTAATATATTTTGGCATAGCAACACAACCCTCACAATTCACTTTTGTTTTCCCAAACCAATTCACCACAAACATTATCAGTGTTCAAGGCCAACTATAATAATTTTARTATTATTACGGTTAGTCAGGTTTTTTGCTTTGCTAAATAAAAGTTTAAGAATCAGAATCTAAGCATTAATMTGAAAGTATTCAAATGTAAAATGGTAAACGAGTATAGGAACTATAACTCTTAAAATAATGATTTTATACCCCTGTCACACATTTACATTTCTACAGCACTAAGGACGTTTTTTTGTAAAACCAGGAGAAAAATTTCAGTCATTACTGTGATATAAATCCTGTACAACTCAACTGGGGAAAAAACAATTGTGTTGTGGGGAGACATAAAAATTAAAAAGATTTATCTGCTACACTTTTTTCCTAAAGTCCAGCTCTGTCAAACTATGAGGACATCTCATCCAAGGCTCTCTTTAGCTCACCWTACAGATTCTCTGCTATATTTAGGAGAAAACTCCTGTTAAGGCATTACAAAACTTTTTTTTTGCTGACTTGGGTGTGTATTTGAAGCCATTTTGAAAATAAAAACAACAACAACAACAAAAACATGTTCATCACTCATCCATCTTAACCCTATGGTGTTCATTTGGTGATCCACAGTCTGGTTCCTGAACCAAACAGACATTTTGGAATTGTGGAAGAAAAATTCAACTTCAGGTTCATCAAATAAAAAACTAATTTGCCCACAGGCTTTTTGAAGACGATATATATCCATTCATCCACCCATTGTTTGCCACCTGTTCCAGAGTCGGGTTGTGGGGGCAGCAGGATGAGCAGGGAGACCCAGTTATCCCTTTCCACAGCCACTCAGCTCTTCCAGGATAATTCCAAGGTGACATCCAAAAGACATAGCRTCTCTGGCATGTCCTGAGTCTTACCCAGAGTATCCTCCCAGTTGAACATMCCTGGAAMGCCTCAAAGGGGCATCCTTACCCGATGCCTGAACCACTCACCTTGCTCCTCTCGTGGATGAGCAGCGACTCCACTCCAAATCATTACCAGATAACTAAATTCTCAGAACTACACTCAGATTCAGATTAGAGTCAAGTTCGTCCACATATGCAATTTCATATTACACTGTCACTACTCATGTCAGTATTAAAGTTCCCAAGCAAAATGATTGAGCCCTCAGTTGGAGCACCTTCCAGCACCTCCACTAAGGACTCCAAGAGGACTGGGTACTCTAAAATACCATTCAGCACATAGGCACAAACTATAAGCCAGAGCCCTTCATCGCACCCAAAGGTGCAGGGTAACTACCCTCTAATCCAGAGGTTCCCAGTTCTTTCTATGCCATAGCCTCCCTAACAGCATTAGCTTCWGYCTGGGGCCCCTTGCAAASCCACAAACAATGCTACATAATGTGTAAAGTTAACCTTTTCACTGATTAGTCTCTGGGGCACACTGACAGAAGCCATGCAGCAGCACTCTGACCACCACTAGTAGGCAAGGCAGGTGAAGTGTCTTGCCCAAGGACACAACAAGTGAGACAGATGGAACGGGGGATCAAACCAGCAACCCAACGGTTACAGGATGACTCCCATAAACACTCTTCCACAGCCGCTCCAGGTACCTAGCTGGGAGGCTATATGAAGGCCAACACCAGCTCCCACCCTCCTTTGACTGTTGCCCACATACTGTTGAACTATGTGCTCTTTCCCGTAGGTAGTGGGCCCATAGGAGGTGAATCTAGTTGGGTTGAGCCCAACCGGGTCCCATGGGTAGAAGTCATGTGCTTGCTGACAAGTCCTTCCCCTCAGGCCTGGCTCTAGTGTGAAGCCCAGTAACACATGCTTCTCATTTTTCCTGWCCATGCAAGCGTTGCAAAATGCTCTTTGCCTGGCCTGTCAACTAGGACCAGTTTAACTTGGGAGACCCTACTGAGGGCAATTGCTCCTGACAGGATATGACCTAAGGTTTTTTAGGCACAAAAACTCTTCCAACAAAATTTGCTMTAAGACTCTTAGACCCTACCTGATCCGTTTATTTTTTTCATCAGTTTTGGGGGACTGTTCAGTTTTTTGTGATGTTTCTGTTCTTTCTTTTCTCCACTTCTTGATGTCTGTCTTCACTGGGTTTCAATACTTTAGTCTAATGCTGGAAAATTGTCATTTTTACTGTTTTGTCTGCTTAGCAGAGAGAAGACTGAATTACAGCTCTGTTTGCTCCTTTGAGTTTTCAGCATCTTTGTCATCAAACATGGTGGATCTGTATGTTAGCTGCATTTTGAGTCAAGAACACTTTCATCTGAGGTAGGCACCAAGAACATTGTTACTTTTAGCAATGCTAACAATACTACTGATGTTAATATTGCTAATAAGATATGTTAGTTTAAATGCCAGCACAGTGAATGTTTTGGGTTTACTGAAACGAAAACTATATTTTTCTCGATAACTCAAAAAATTCCAAACCACATCCTTTCTCATCACAACATGACCATAGTCTAAAACCTGAATGGTGGCAGATAATATACATACAAGGTCTTTATTTCTTTATATTTTTCCCCACAGTGTATTTTTTCCAGTTCAGTTGTACAGGATAGGCTTACTGTATATTTTGCAGAAAAAGTGATAGAAGTTTTAAAATAATTTATCATGGGCTCCTTTTTTATTATAGTGATACATTTTCTTTTTCAGATCAAGCCATTTAGCATTTATGAATGCAGACTTTGGTGTCTCAATTCAGGGGTTGCGTTCTTTGAATTTCACACTTGTTGGCCACATACGCCACTGCCCCAGGCCAAAGGCTGTCCCAATTTGTGGGCACTTAGTCATGCAACCYACAAATGCAACCCACAAAACCCCAAAAATGAATGGTGCATCTGAGTATCCCAGGATTCATTGAGCCATCAGCAGTTTTTTTATTTACCAAGTTGGCATAGTGCAAATTCATCGCAGACTGAAATATATTTTTAAAATATGTTTAGCAGCTTAGCTGAGTAAATGTATGCTGCAAAGATATGTTAAATTAAATGCAATTAAAAGTACTGATAGTGGCGCTAAGCCCAAATTATTAATGTTCTTTTCCCATTTCTTTATTATTTATTTCAGTCCTTATTCAAGTGTAACATTTTCAATTGCGAATTTATTCCTTCAGTGAAAAGATGTGTGAATACCAATGTTGTGGTGGCACAGAGGTTAGAGAAAATGAGCCTGTGATTGAAAGCTTGCTGGTTCAACTCCCCAGACCAACCAGCTCCTCCTTGAGTACCTAAAATTGGCACCCCACTGCCCTACATGTGATGGGTAAAATGCAGAGAATTAATTTCCCCAACAGGGGATCAATAAAGTATATTAAAAATGATAATAAATTTTAAAAGAGTACGTTTTTGACATAAAATATGCGTAAGCAATAAAAATATTGAGTAAATGAACCATTAGATTTTCCTCAAAAAAACATTTTTCTAAAGACCGAAATGACTATAATGTCTAATAAGATACATTATCTATACCCGCTTCTTCCTTTCAGTGTCACAGTGGTCACTGGTGGCCATATCCAGCAATCACTGTGCGAGGGGAGTGGTACACCCTGGACAGGTCGCAAGTCCATCACAGTAAACACACACTAAAACAACCATTCACTCTCATCCGAGGGACAATTTAGAGTTACCATTTAACCTAACAGTCATGTGGGAGGAAGCCGGAGTATCTGGAGAAAACCCACACACAGTGTTGTATAAAGTACCTCAAAGTGATACTTGAATAAAAGTACAAGTATCTAATCATAAAAATACTTTGGTAAAAGTTAAAGTCTTCTCT